GGGGGGGGGGGGGGGTTGATGTCTAGGCGGTGAGTCTTTTCGGTCACCTCCATGTCTTGACAACGCCGACATCGGACAAAGTCAGGCCGTGTCAAAGAGCCTTCGAAACCGCCGACAACGCTTGCGGTGTTGATGCTGCTGCTCTTTTCGTTGCCCTCCGTAGGCTGGCCCTCTTCGACTGGCTTCTTCGAAGCGTGGTCCCTGCTTGTGATGGTACTAGTCAACAGTCTTGCCTCGCCGGCTTCTTCTCCTTTTTCTTGGTCGTGAGTATGGCTCTGGTGTTGTACTAAATGAGGCGGGGTAGCGGACGGGGGGCGGGGCAGGGGACAAAGAACGGAGAAAAAACGGCGTCGGGTTAGGACAACGTCTACCGATTCATCGGAACAGGTAGCGCTTCAACAGATGATCGGGCGTGGCCGATAAGCTGAATCACCAGAGACCGCACCGTTCCGGAAAGAACGGGAACAAGAACAGAGGCCACACAATACAAGCGGCACTGAATACTTCTAGAAGATTGGCGGGAAATCACTGCACGAGGGGCGAACGGGCAATACATCGAAGAAGACAAGAAGGCACCATCAATGCTCCCAATATTTTCGTATCAAGCACGGGCAGAAAGGTGGGTTTTGAGGTCCTCGGGGAGAAGGATGGGTGGGGAATCCCCAGGGGGAGGAAGGAGCCACCGCGTCTGTGAGATCCCCGATCGGGAAGCATACAAAACCATCAGGTACGGGTAGAACAGCCTGCGACGGTCCAAAAAACGCACCGGGCGACTGAAAATGGCAAAACGGTACTGGTTCCAAGCATTCTGCCCCCTAGAGCTCACGAGAAGGGCCGGGTAGCTACACCCGGGCGGACGCTCCATGCGGGGCGGTGGGGCATCACGATGTCTCCACGACGCATAGGACGGGACGGCGGGAATGCCAGATGGTGGCAAACAGAAAAACGAACAGGAGGCGAACAGCTTCCGTTTCGAGACGCCAAGCCTCCAAAGGGACGGACAACCGAACAAGCATGACCAACTCTAGCCAAAGGAGGCCTCTCGCATACCAGGTTCTGCAGTCAAGCACGTTGTTTCCTCCTCTGCCTCGGTGCCGCCATCGCCGACCCAGTCTCTTTGCACGAAAAGGTAGCCTGGGTTGGATCCCTTCGACGACCGATGGAGAGGGGCGGGGGCGGGGGGGGGGGGGCAGGGGCTCGTAGTGGACAGTGATATTGAGTCGATAACGCGACTGTCCGACAGCCAATGGATGTACGTGTGTGCGATGCTTTCATGCTACATCAGCGTGATATTTCTTTTCTTACCTTCACGTCAAGTCAGCGCTCACAACACTAGTGTGATACATGAATGAAAGTTCCACGATCTTCCACTTCGGAGGGACGTTCCCCTCCACGGCAGGGACCGGTATTTGGACAATGTTAGACCCGCTGGGCCATTGTCTACCGCACGTCCAACCGTCGTGATACAGGCCTTCTTAACGCTGGATGGGCCTTATCTCACTCCGCTTAACGCTGGATTCGCCTTAACTCTCGGTGACGACAAGATACGCCACAAAACGTCGTACATGCTTGTGCAGGAAACGTTTCCCATAAGTACGCGACAGTCAAGATAGTTTTTCAACACTAAAACAACCGATGTCTTGCTGTAGATGGCACCTGCACTGCGAGGAAAGCGAGGATCGAGAGCGCAACTGCCGCAAGAAACACGGAGAACGTCTCCCCATCCACAGCTTCGCCAGCTTCTTGGTCCCAGAGAAACGTTCCAGGAATGTTCCCGATGAGCACGACCGCAGCCCCGTTCACCGCCAGGTACCCCGACCGATACCTTGCATCGTGGCGACACGTAAGTTTTGTATGCGATGGGATAGGGACGAAAATGGGAAGAGGGGCGTACACAATTTTTCTTTTTTTGGCTCAGCGATGTGCCCCCCTTTGGCCGCGTATCCCACAGCAGCCGGAGCACCATGTATCCGTCACGATAACCATCAACACCCGGGGAAAAGTTTTCGCCACGCTGAACGCGTGGGAATTTTAGCCGTCTTAGTTTCGTTCCCTTGTTTCATTAATGGAGAAGTGGGGAGGGAGGTAAGCGCCTGCCCACTGCTGTATCGGACCAGTTGCTGCTGACTGAAAAAAGAGATCGGCACTATTGCTCAGCATCGATCGAGTCTACGTAGTACGCGAGCATGGGTGCTGGAAGCACCAAGCTTTCCCAGGAGGTCCAGAGCATGCGGCCTTGTCGGTATCTTGTCTCTCTCGGAAGTCTGTAACTCCTGCTAGTAGCTGTTGCAGGAGCTATTGGCTTGTTCTCCGTCTCTTACCCTACAAATTATACGACGGATTCTCAAACCCGGATGTACTCCAACAACTGGAACACGATGCAAACATCGACAGCAGTAGCTGTTGTACAGTCGTGACTCAAACAGATAGCGTCAGTGGTGACGAGCTTTTTTGTCGCATGTACGCGAAAGGAGAATGGAAAGTATAGGCGGGGTCGGGAAAAGTTTCGAAAAGCCAACTCCAGGTACATCAGTAAGTTATTCCATTGAGGAGGGAGATTGGGGCCAAGAAGAAAGGGTCCATCCTCGCAACACACCAACAAGATGTAGAACAAAATGGTATCGCTTGTAAAAGACGTGCACAGCACGCACAAATGTGCATGTGATGGGAACACTGCGACAAGTACTACGCCGACATCCCGACGGCCCGACGGCAAAGGTATCTTTATTTGTGTAGTCCGCGCAGGTGCAGTCTAGACTACTGCTGTCTCAGTAGTCTACTACATCATGCATGCGGAACAGCACAAAGTCCAGGCCATCATGTGAAGAAAGGTAGGTCAAAGGAACGCAAGGGGGTGCAACACAGCAGCACCAGCACCAGCACCAGCTACGTACAGGTAAAGCTGAACCTGCAATAGGTCACTGTGAAAAAGATGAGCCTAGCACCGTTGCACGAAGTGGTAGACGACAAAAATCCTCCGCAAACAAACCGAAAGCTCGGGGCATTTTTCAGGACAATATCTTGGTGTTCTACTTGGCACTTACCATTTCCGTACCCGCCTAAGGTGGTTCGGAAAATCTTCAGGAGACATCGTGACCGTGGAGACCGTGTAATCGAGGCAGATAGGGCCTAACCTCGTCCAGTGCGAGTGGTACAGCACCACGCGGACTTGGGGGCTCCGGTGATGCAGATGGGGGATGTGGAGTAGCAGATTACGCCGCATTTCCTGAACAAGGCTCTCCGCTTGGCTTGTACAACCCTGAGTTCATCTCCGTCGTGTCTTCACGCACATTACGTTTTCAAGGTATGATCTGCTTGAAGGCTGAGGCACTGCGTTTTGGTTCATTAATTGCTGTTCTGCTGCCCCCGCACGTGAAATCGAATGCGATCTACATGTAACTTATTTTTGTCATTTTTGCCGTGCAGCTGGTTTAGAAGGCGCGCCCGCTGCTGTGCTGCTGTTGAGAGCCAGCTCAAACACAGCCACTGGCGCGGCCGGCCGCTTATAGCGATAGTACCAATCGGGTAATGGATGTTTCCAGGATGTTCTGCAGCACTTTGTGCGATCGCTTGAAAGAGAGTGCGACACCACTGCTGTGCGCTTCGCTTGTTTGAATCGACCCCTTGTGTTGCACAGAATGGCGTCCCGCTTACTGCAAAACGAACTTTCAATGAACATCCAATGAGAAACACAGCTGTTGAGCACTGCTGTGAAACTAATGCTAGCATGCTTGCTAGAGGGTGTCACCCGCGTGATGATAGCAAGTGTCGTACCTTTCGCACCAAAAAACAACGCTTGTTTGGGTGTTTTGTCGCGCCCATGAGCCATCATGCCACGCTGTGTCTATCGGGTGAATCAAGCGTGGCTATCGCCAACGTCGCAGTGGTTTTGGCTCCAACCAGTCGCAGAAAATGATCTCCCCCCTCCCATCATCCCCCCGCGTTCGTAAATATGGGTGAATGTTAAACACGGTCCAATTGGGAGGCTCTTTTCACGGCAGTAAATAGTGTTTCGTGTGCATGTACGCATCATGTACATGTCCGTCGGGCAGCCCCTTTCGATCGGGAAATACGTATATGATGCTTATGATTACTTGGTGGGATATCCATGCCTTGAAATTGAAATGCCATGCCGCCAACAAGCACCCACTCACTCAGCCTGTCATATCCATAGTGGGACATCCTGCCTTCAAATTTAAATGCCATGCCGCAAACAGAGACCCACTCGGTCAAGGCTGAGAGGGTGCCCTGGTTGACTCGATTGATGCCCCGTATCTTCTTCCCTGTCGCTGTTGTTTGTTCCTTTGATGCGTCCATCTGCGTCCTCTCTCGGTGGTGCTCCTCTGTTCGTGCGTGTTCGCGTCCGCTTCCATGCGTTCTCGCCTGTATCTGGGTCCTCGCTGCTGTTTCGTGATCTTCTTTTCCTGGGTCTCTGCGTGGGGTCTCTTGTGTGGTTCGTTTGGGTGGTTTTTTGTTTGTTTTTCGTTGCTGTCGGATGGTGCGTCCGTCGTTGCTGAAACACTGGGTCAACGGGCGCCGCTGTTTCTCCCGAAGATGGGGCGCATGCACAGCGGAGGTAAGGGTATTTCCAAGTCCTCTCTCCCCTACCGGAGGAGGGTGCCCTTGTGGCTAAAGGTCTCCGCTCAAGAGGTGACCGAGCACGTGTGCAAGCTGGCCAAGAAGGGTCTCACACCCTCCCAGGTGGGTTGTTCTTTCACCCAGCGCGCTGCAGGCAGTCTACCTTTGGGCTGCGCCGCGTTTGAACCCGCGCTTTCGTGTGTGGCTAAGGTGGAATGTGAACGCGTATGGATCTCGGGAAGTTGCCACAAGACGTGGAATTCGTTGGGTAAATAAATGGGGGTGTTCCATTGCCAGATCCTTCGCTTCTGGCGTTGTTTGATGCGCCTCAGCCAGGTTTCCCAACGGTGCTTGCAAGCTCGCCAAAAATCACCACCCATCGCGTGGACACGCTATTCAGATTGTGTCGAGGTGTTAGGGGTCAGAGGACATGTTCGGTATCATTTTATGTCCGGTATTATTCACGCATGATTCCTACACGTGTGGCTTTGCCCACCCCCTCCCCGCCTCATTGTAGACTTAAGTGGGTTGGTGCTGTTGGCAAAGCGCTGTAAAACACGCCACCCCAAATATAGCCCCCGTAGTATGCGCTACCAAAGACGCGTGACGCATGGATGAGTGGAGTGAGGATAGCTGCATACTGAAACCCCACGGGTTGAGTGATGTTGGAGTGCCGGACACATAGACGCGTTGAGTGAGGATAGACACATACTGAACCTCACAGGTGACTTGTGATGGAGATTGCCGGACACATCGACGTGTTGAGTGAGGATAGCTGCATACTGAAACCTCACAGATGGATTGATTTTTGAGTTTGCCAGACACATAGACGCGCTGAGTGAGGATAGCTACATACTGAAACCTCACGAGTTGAGTGATGTTGGATATTGCCGGACACATAGACGCGTTGAGCGAGGAAAGACACATACTGAACCTCACTGGTGATTTGCATTTCAGATTGCCGGACACATAGACGTGTTGAGTGAAGATAGCTGCATACTGAAACCTCACAGATGGATTGGTTTTTGAGTTTGCCAGACACATAGACGCGCTGCGTGGGAATAGCTACATACTGAAACCTCACGAGTTGAGTGATGTTGGATATTGCCGGACACATAAATGCGTTGAGTGAGGATAGCTGCATACTGAAAAGTCACAGGTGATTTGTATTGGAGATTGCCGGACACATAGACGCATTGAGTGAGGATACCTGCATACTGAAACCTCACAGGTGGATTGGTTTTTGAGTTTGCCAGGCACATAGACGCGTTGAGTGGGGATAGCTACATACTGAAACCTCACGAGTTGAGTGATGTTGGATATTGCCGGACACATAGACGCGTTGAGCGAGGAAAGACACATACTGAACCTCACTGGTGATTTGCATTTCAGATTGCCGGACACATAGACGTGTTGAGTGAAGATAGCTGCATACTGAAACCTCACAGATGGATTGGTTTTTGAGTTTGCCAGACACATAGACGCGCTGCGTGGGAATAGCTACATACTGAAACCTCACGAGTTGAGTGATGTTGGATATTGCCGGACACATAAATGCGTTGAGTGAGGATAGCTGCATACTGAAAAGTCACAGGTGATTTGTATTGGAGATTGCCGGACACATAGACGCATTGAGTGAGGATACCTGCATACTGAAACCTCACAGGTGGATTGGTTTTTGAGTTTGCCAGGCACATAGACGCGCTGAGTGGGGATAGCTACATACTGAAACCTCACGAGTTG